GAATTCATTTTAAATTCTTTAATTAGATGTAAATTTTATATCCAAACTAATTACATCTCTTTTTCTTCCATTCACTCAGGAATATTTAAGTGTTACTATGGTGCAACTATCAGGGTTAGGTGTGAGGAACTATGGGGTGGAGCAAAAAGATTGAGTGTGGTAGGGGGAAAATGATGGAGACATGCCTTTGGAGAATTGGCAGTATAGTTGGAGAGAAGCCTGTATCTTAAGTACAGGATTCCAATAGAATGTGACAAGCACAATGATAGGGGTGCACAGGAAGGGAGCTGTGGGAGCTGCAAAAACCTTGCCAAGGGGGCCAGAGGACATACGGTAAAAAGACTCATTTGAACTGAGTCTTCAGAAGTCAAAATTTAACCACATCTAGACTCAAAATTGTTTCCAAAATATGTTGACTAAAGCTCTTTCCTATAATTATTCTGATTAGATGATCCACCTAAACTTGTTATATGCCTTCTCTGTCATCATATCATTTCACTGTTTTCTCACGTATGTTGCTGCAATGTGACATCATGCATTCCAAGGGCATTCCATGTGGCAACCAAAGGAAGGGTGGGAAATGAGGACAGAGTGCTCCACTCAGGGATGTGGCTTTTATATGGCAGGCCCCGTTATGGTCACACTATCTTTGCTCCATCTACCCTATAACATGGGAGAGTCTTTCTTATTAGGATTTAGTGGCTCAACAGGTTTGGAAGGATTTGGGAAGGGGATGCTTCCTTGAATTCTATTGCTGGGAGAAGACAGGAAATTTAGCATGTCAAATGGCAAAGGTAAAACCACAGTGGAAGGTTTCTCTGTGGACAAAGACTGAAGGGTGTGGAGGTATCGAAGCTGAACAGCAGCTGGAGTGCCTGACAGAATTTCAGCTGCCATCCTCAGGGACTCAGAGGCAGCCTTTTCCCCTTCTGCAGCGATCATCTAGAAAGCAGATGTGGAGAAAGCAATGTGATTGTTCTTCATTCCATGAAGGTTTTAATCACTATTCAGTGTGACTCAGCAAATAAGAACTGAGCATCTCCTACATGGCAAGTACTGTTAAGCACAGGAGAATAGATTCGGTCTTTTTTATGAAGGATCCTTGAGCTAAGGGAGATAGATTAAACTACTGCCTTGGATTGAATGTCCCCACCAAACTTAGTCCCCACTGTGATGGTGTAAAGAGGGTGAGAAATCTTATTATGGAAATCGAAAGGTGGGGCCTTGAAAAGGTGATTAGGTTGTAGGATCATGCCATAGTGAATGGATTAATAATGGTGATCATGGGTATGGTTCTAAGGGCTTTAAAAGAAGAGCATATGAGAAGTTAGTCTCTCTTTGCTCCTCCATTTTGCAATGTGATACCCTGTCATCACTGAAGTCACCACCAAAGAAGGCCCTCATGATAAGTGTTGCCTGGACTTTGGACTTCCCAGCCTCTGAAACTGTAAGCAATAAATTTAATTTTCTTTATAAATCACTCAGTTTTGGGTATTTTGTTATAAGCAACAGAAACAGAGTAATACAACTACTAATTGTAATTTAAGGTAGAATTTGTTAAGGGCTGTGACAAGTATAAGTGAAGTATTAGGGGAGCTGTTAATGTTTGGTGGGCCTTGAAAGATTAATAGGATTTTGCTATATAGAGAAAAGGTTGGCCAGTGTTCCAGGAAAAAGCATTGAATTATGAAAGGGTAACTCCCAACTCAAGCAAAATGAATGGGCTAAGCATTTCAGAAGAGAAAGCACCAACCTCACCCAAATGCCACCTGAAAGTGGCAAAGAGGATGAGGCTCAGAGATCTAGTAGAAATTCTCCCCACAGGACCACCTTTCTCCCCTTCTGCCTCCCTACTTCCCCTCAACACTCCAGTTATGGTTCCTGTTATGCGGTTAGGGTTTTTCCTTCACCTACTGCCTGTTCTTTGAGAGAAATCTGCCTATCTTCACTCCCCATTTTCCTCTTCCTAACACCTTACCCAGCTCATGCCTCAATCTTCAGAAACTCTGGCAGCCAGATCTTTGCTTCTCAATGGCGTTCCTGAGTAGAGGCTGAGTAGCAGAGCCTTCTCTTGGCTGTAGTATTGAGGGAATTGGGCCCTGATCATGGTTGTTCCTCTAAAACTTGTGAAGAGCTAGGGATACAGGTCTGGGATAACCTAGGGGTCATTAACCTAGGGGTGACAGGTGACTGAGATTATCCACGGAAAGATGCCAGCGCGAGAGAAGAAGGATGATGTGCAGGGAGGAGATGCCTTTAAGGAGAGAGAGAAAGCAGGACTCAAGAAGGTGGGGGTCATTGTTACCAGTGGCTTCAGAGAGAGGGAGAGATGTTGCATGAATCAGATTCTGCCCAGCACCAGGATGAATGGAAGGTAAGGAAGCAAAGGAGAAACGTTCTCCATGAGCAAGCCTTCTTTGGGATTCTCCAGTGCTCCTCAGAGAGCAGTGTCGGTGGGAGGGTGGAGTACTCAATGCTGGCTCACCCGCACTTTGGCCTGTCTTTGTGCTTCGGCTTCCACAGCTAGTGAGTGCTGGAGCCCGGCTGGCAACCTCACATCCTTACTGAAAAAGAAAGAATGAGGGCACATATATAGACTTTCACCCTTCTCTACTGCTGTTTCATGGTGGGTAGCAGATTCTGCTTTTAACAGAGTGTGCTGTCCCAAGACCTCTGAGGTGGAAGGTAGGCAAAGAAGAGCATCTCAAAGGTCGGTGCCTCAAATGCAGATTTGCATTATTACTGATGCTACAGTGGAGCTATGGTTTTCTCTTAATATCACAGCAAATTTTGTTTTGACAGGTTGTGATCATTTTTCCCACTTAAAATGTAATCTAAGTCCCCGACTATTAAAAACAGCCTTGAAGAACCATACTATTAATAACAAAGATAAGGGGACTTCATCTAAGTTTATGAAAGAGAAGAATTGATTTTGAAAAGGATAGAACTGACCAAATAAGAACAATACTTAATGTATTTGCATAAAAGATACAAAACTGTCTTTTTACCCTGATTATAATTATAAAAAATGCATATATGGAAAAAAGTTTAGTAGTTTCTCAAAAAGTTAAACAGAATTAACCATATGACTCAATAATTCCACTCCTACGTGGAGAAGAGAAAACATATTTACACAAAAACTTGCAAATAAATGTTCATTGTAGCATTATTCATGATAGCCAAATGTCCATCAACTGATGAATAAATAAAATGTGGACAGCCATATAATAGAATATTATTCGACCATAGAAAGGAATAAAGTACTGATATGTGCTACACCATGGATGAACCATGGCTGCAAATACGATGCTATGTGAAAACAAGCCGGACATGAAAGGCCACATATTGTATGATTCCATTCATGTGAAATACCCAGAATAGGCAAATCCACTGAGACAGAACGTGAATTAGTGGTTGCCAGGGACTGAGGGGTGTGGTGGGCGGGGATGATGACTTTCTGCTTGATGAACGCAGGTTCCCTTTGGGGGTAATGAAAGTGTTCTGAAATTAGATAGTAGGGATGGTTGCACCCCTTTGTAAATATACTAAAACCAATAAATTGTACCTTTAAAAATGGTTAACATGGGCCGGCCCGGTGGCGCACTGCTACAGTGCACCGCTTGGGAGCGCGGTGGCGCTCCC